AAAAACATTGAACTCTTTAAATTCATCGATTTGTTGCAACATATTATTTGTCGTCATATTGTCTAGTTGTGGTTAGCCAACACTATACCTGTATGCAGTCGCCATTCGAATATCTTTTTTACTTAATTCATTAGTTAACGGTTTAAGACTATTTTTCTTCGTTAGAAACAAATCCAAAAAGGGGTAATAACCTTCATACGGAGATTCTAACATAACAAACAAAATCATTAGCCTGACACGTGGGAAGGTCACGACAATTTTTCAATTGCTATGAATAACTAAAGTGTGGTCGGGTTCAAAGAAATTACTTTGTTGATTTTAGTATATTTGGCTAGTAGGCGTCAAAATTTGAATAGTTAATTTTGCTTTGAAAAAAAAAAAACAGCACAAAAAAAAAGCCAAGGCTCAACAGAAATGCACCATCACACATGTTATGCCGTAATACGTAATATCATATCAGAAATATGTTAGACACCGGAAATAGTACAAATATTATAGTAGAAAAAAAATATTTTCTTTGGTAAACGTATAAAATTTCTTTGAAGTATAGTGATACTAGTGAGAACTGTAATATGTCTTTATATTATATTATAGATATATTATTTTTTATAATATAAGGGGCATGCGGCTTACTTGATGGTAAGTAATTACCGTACCAGCAACATCAGAGAAGTTGCAGGTATGTTGCCGGCCTATTAAAAATGATACATTCTTTTATTGCAGGGAGCAATGAATGCAGGAGTTGGATTCATAGTTTAGTTGTGTTCCATAGCGTGAAAGAGTTTACTTAATTTATATATCAATACTTTATTATGCCATAAAAATAGGTAAAATAACATAAATTAATAAAATGCACATTTTCTTACTATCGTAAAATATTATCTTTAATTATATTAAAAACATACCACATGTGAACAAACTTATGTTTAAAAGTACGTCAATAAGGAACATAATAAACAGGATGAATATAACATATACTCGTATTATTTATGGTTCTTATAGTTTAAAAAAAGCAATTTTTCATAAAAAAAGTCTTTCAAAAGAATTTATTCCTTTTGAAAGATTTTTTCGTGTTTAGTTAGTCCACCTCCACATTTTATCAAGAATCAATCGTCATATATCATATTGTTTGTGACACGATTGTTCAACTTCCTTTTGTGCCGAAATGGCCTGTCCTTGTCGGTTGGTAAAATGAGATTGATAGATGACGTCTTGAATGGATACCACGATTCAAAGGCTGAAATATGTCAGCCACGTAAACGGTGAACGTTTGCAGGCTTTCAAAGTATTCATGGGATATTTTCGACAATGATAACAATCCATAATTAAATAGAATACAGATATATTTTATTCTGAAAAAGAAGAACAACGCCTTCAATTGTCATAAAACTCATGAATGACGAAATGTTTTGTACGTATTATAAATTGAATTAAAAATATTTGAATAAAGTACGTGGAAACTTGTATTAATTTTTGCTTTAAAATAAGTATTTTTATGTTCCACAAACAATATTGGCACGTGTAATTGTCATAATATCGCGGTAAACTCTAGCGATTGCTAAAAAAATATTATTAAATGCGGTTCAGAATATAATTGATAACGTGACTGCGTGACATAGCCACAAAAATTCATCATTTACAAATACATTTAGTGTTTTTATTTTTCAGTCAGTTGTCAGTTGAATTAGTAGTAATTAGTAAAGTAATAATCCTGAAGAAATAGCAAAATTTTGAGTTTATAAACTTAAAAATGGATTCCTGAACTTGATTCAAATTTTGACATTTATGATGACAAAAATATTGCTGGCTGATTAGAATTAAAAGGTATTTTCAAGCTAATAAATAAAATTAAAATCTGCAACTTCCTAATCTTTAAAAAAAATATACATCTAAATATAGTAGTACTTTGAATTGATGACAACATTAGGATAATTCTAGGTTTATGTTCAATAAAATACCTTTAGAAACGATTTATCTATCTATCCACCTAACAAAATTTACTTACAGACATTTGCGTTCAATTGTACCTATGTTCGCATTGTTGCTTCCAGAGTTCCTATTTCATGGGTGGGGAGGATTTAACCGAAATCACTTCGAAAGGGGCTGAGCGGCGGGTGCTGCAAATGGCTAGTCCTAGGAATAAATTGAGCGTAATTTTATCACCGTCCCTTCTCCCACAACTTCGGTGTGTGAGTGAACAAGAACTAAAACTCGATAATGCCGAGTGAAAACTTCAGTTTCAAACAATTAGTTATTGGTAGGGCGAGTGTTTTCTATAAGAATTTGATGATTACGTTTCAGATTTTTGAAATACCTAAGAATTATTATTAACAATTGAAATGTTACAAATATAAGGAGTTTCTCAATTTAGATAAATATATGTATATTAGCATATTATATAATTATACAATGAACAATCGATTGAGTAATAATATATCAATAATTTTACATTCATTTAATTAATTAATTTATTTAATTCTTTATTGTACACACTAGTTATAAGAATATGACAGAGGTAATTAAATGTACAAAGGTGAGCTTAACTCTAATAGACTTTTCTTCCAGTAAACCCAAAGTGGAAAGGTGCATCAATGTCATTCATTTAATGATATTTATTTCCCTGTTTCGTGCTCCAAGTTAATTTTTCTAGTAGTTGTGAAGTAAAATCTAATTATAGACGAACAATTTCAAATTATAGCTTCAATTAGTCGATCATCGATGTGCTTTATGTTTTAAAATAAGATATATATGTATATTTTAATATTATAAAGAGTAAAGATTTAATTTTTTGTTTGTAATGGATAAACTCGGGAACTACTGTACCGATCAGCGAGTAGCATAGACTATATACATTATTTTATAAACTAATATATTGAGTTTAATTTGAGTCAATGTTAATTCATCACGGCAAGCCTAGCTACCGATGTATTTGCCGTCTTTTGATTCTTTCCTATTTTGACACTGTAGCTACTTCCTCGTACTTCTTACGACACTTGTTGATTTTATTCAACTAAAATGCACATATATGTCATTTATATGGTATATAATAATATTTTAGTTGATATTTGTGTATATTAATTCCTTTTATTATAATACAATTTGAATTATGAGATAAAGGTAGAAAAGACATCAAAAGAAATACTAGAGAGAGAGAGAGACATTTAAGAAAGATAAACTTTTTACAAATTAAACTGCTTAGGGACTTCTCTCCCTTTAGGTTTCTATTGCCAAAGGGCTATGCTTACCTGGTTGTCTTTTGGTTGGAATGTTTGGAATTTGGGATATAGCAGTGAAAATACAGGATACAAAGACATTTCATTCCTTACAAATGACAACACATGAGTGGTATGATGTATTTTATCTATTTTAATATATTCTGTGCTGTATTTTTTTATACTTTTATGGTGATAAACAAGCATAAGGCCCGTCTGATGGTAAACGATGTTAGCGTAGCTGCTTGCGACACTAAGGGTGTTACGTGCGCGAACTTTTTGAAGAACCCCATGCTGTAGTTTTTAGGGAAAACAGGAAAATCATTCCACAACTTGAGCGTTCGCGAGAGAAAGATCCTCTGAAACTGCATCGTACGTGACTGTTTTGGTTCTGAGGTGTGGGAATGGATTCTTTATCGATAGCGAGCGATGCGATAGTAAAAGGTGGATATCATCATGTCAAAGGAATGAAGAAATTTCTTCATTACACAATCGGTTATGCATACCGTTGTAAAGTCTCGCCTTAGACTAATGGACTCGATACCACCTGTTAACATAGCCTGGGATCGTCGACAATTCTCGTAGCATGCTTTTGAATTAAATTAAGAGGTTTGCTGGTCTCTAGGAACTCCTAATCATAAGTGAGAATAGTACTCCATATAGCGCACTTATAGTACTATTTCCATCTATAGAAGATTATAGTTCCCCACTTTTCTTAAAAAAGAAAAGTGTTAATTTATGGTTTAAAAAAGATTGTATAAAATAAATTAATATAACATACACGACCGCAATCTCAGTCTAAACAACGCAACACATTTAATTTCACCGTGTCTGTACAACAGACCACAAATTAAGAAGATTAGGTACCTGTTAAAGCAGAAAGTCACTAATGGTTGAGACGCACGAATAAATTTTGTTAGAGAACCTCCGAAGCAACTTTGCGGGTGTACGTACGTGAGTAAGAAGTTTCCCGATCGAGGTACGTGCACACATTGGTGTTGTTTTGTTTGTCCTTGTACTCATTCCTAATAATGTTTAAGTGCTCAGGCTTAAGTGCGATGAAGAAGTTTACACGAAAATCCTTAATCCACACGACAATTTACAGCTGTTCATTTTACGTTGGAGCAGAAATAATCTGCTTGTGAAAGGCGGCCCCCGTTTGTTTTAGGCTCGTACCGGTGACTTATTGTCTTCGGCAATCTCATGTAAGTATCAAATTATCTGCCGTACTTGGGTGGGACGTTCCGAGTAACGTATTTCGCAGTTATTACGTGTTAATCTACATCATAACGAGGGAAAGTGCTTTTCGCTCTGTTAAGAGTATATGTGTAGGTTTAAATGTACTCGAAATAATAATTGGATATTTTATCGATGTTAAACAATTTATTATGGCACTGATATATTTTTTATGATATTTTACTAAACTAGGTGTTATTTTGTGAAAGTTCACATCACTGGTTATTTGATTAGATTTATTTTGTATAATTTCGCTGCCATTAGTATGTGTAAAACGTAAACGAACAAAATGTCAGTCGGAGATTGATGGTTAATATGGAAGGTTATGGAACTTCTGGTATTTATATTATGTAGCAAAGCAATTGTTATTAAATGTAATATAGACGTAGTATTTATATTGATTACATAGTATAGTGTCCAGTATATGACGAATAATGGCTAAAATGATGATGATGATATATTAAGGATAGAGAAATAAATATTTTACATTTTATTTCGCACAAACAAATTAAGTTGTAGGCGTAAGTAAAATACAAATAACTAAATACTTACCTAAAACAATTCCATACACCTGCACTCCCACTAGTACTAATTCAACAACACCACGCGACCGCATTTCGGATTTGTCTCACAACCACTTCACTAGTAACAGTCAAATATTATCAACAGTATGCTGAAGTAACACATGTTCCTGGCCGCTGCGGTACACCTGCAATAAAGAAAAATAAACTTTAAGTTGTAGTTTTAATACCTACATTAAAACAAAGAAATTAAAATTTATAAAAAAATACCATTTTAGATTTAATTTTCGACTTAGAAAGAATCATCAAAATCGGTTTACAAGTGGCACAAATTATCACGTACAATGAACAAACAGCCTACATCAGTAAGTAATAATGATACCATTGTAATAGTTCCTGATGGAAGGTAGCACTTACAATGGTATTTCTATTTATAATAATAATTGCATTACACAAAAAAAAAACTGATTCAATTATGTATATATTAATACAATTATAACATAGAGGGCAAACAAGCATGCGACTTACCATACCTGGTAGGTGACTACCGCCGCCCGTAATCACCCACAGTACCAAAGCCAATGCAAATGTGTTGCCCGCTTTTTAAAAAACAATATGCTCTTTTCTTGCAGGTTGTATTATTATTATATTGGCATCCAGAAAACTCGGTGTGCTTAATAGAGCGAAGTATTACTTCAAGCCGGATCAGCGATTAATGCTCTACAAATCGCAAATCCGGCCCCACATGGAGTATTGCTGTCACTTATGGGCACCTAGATACCAGCTTGAACCCTTCGACTCAGTACAACGACGAGCTATGAGAATTGTCGAGAATTGTTGTATTAGAAATTAAATTTCTTTAAGATTTAAATTCAAGTTGCAGGTTTTGTCTCAACTCCGTTCGACAGTTTTTTATTTTTAATAAAGAACTTTCTTAGAAAAATTTATTGATGAAAAGTAAAATCAAATATTTTACTAATATAATAAAACTGTAGCTAGACGTTGCGCGTAGGAGATATTTAAGAAAAAATAATACGGGGGGATATTAATAAGGCCAATATTGTTGTTAAAACAATAACTTTTACATATTTTGTCTATGGGTTTGTTCTAATATCACGCCAAAATTACTGTACCAAACAAACTGTATGTGGTTTTCATAATTGTGTACCTGAAGATCTAACTAAAATTTGGTGTGTATCTTGAAACGCTATTTAAAAGTTGTATATTTATTAGTTTTCATACTTCTAAAAACCAAGCGTATGTAGCGCGCAAAAAGCTAGTCTAAAATGAAATAAAAATTATATGCTCACGACTATAATATTACATCGAGACGTCACAGTTATTTGCCGACTTTTGTTTAATGGAATAGTAACCCAGCCTGTGCAAACAGTATACGCTGGGCATACGCGGGGCACCAGTGACGGATAATAGGTGAGGATAAAAAAGCAAATCAGTTAGCCTATCGTGTGAATACACCTGGAATCCAGCACAATAGTTTCCAGGGAGGACCACGTGGATGTCGACCTGACATAGTATATTGCTAGCAATGGGAATGGTAGTCTGTATTACTAGCAATCCCCCCTCCCCCCTTGGTATTTGCTGACTGTTGCCGTTTTGGTGAAAATAACACTCGATGTGCCCGGAATTCGCTCAGTATATTAGAAGTTAACCTAGCTCTGTCACTCGGATATTATTGGATTGGTTTATTAAAATTTTCCATAATATAAATATCATTAATATTACTTTACAGATCAGACCATAACAAATTTTAAGAATAGAATAGAAGAATAGAAATCATTTATTCAAATAAACTTACATTGAAGCACTTTTGAAAAGTCATTACATTTTTTTTTTATCCATTTACCGCTCGTTCGGAAAGCTGTCTCATCACAAGAAGAACGAGCAAGAAACTAGTATGCTTTATAAATAATTTTATTATTATTTTACATTTTATAAAGAGATGTTTAATTGTGTGAATACAAACCACCAATTAGCACTAATTCAATTAAATACTCAAAAAGAAAAAAAAAATTGAATACATAACCAACTGGTTAAACAATTAATAAGAGGAAAACAGTCATAGTGATTAGAGCAGACCAGTCCCTACAAGCAGCACCATTTCACGAGTATGACGGATGAGCCAGCCATCACTGCGCTTTTTATTTTTTTTTTAGCAAATGACCCGGCCCACCACGCCGCCACAAGTCTGGACATTTTAGTGAGCATGACTACCAAAACACTAGACCACGTCAAAGCTACTCACAATTGCCATCTGATAGTTATAGTATTCACATTTTACATAAGAATGCATGCGGCAATTAATACAAAAAAATACGCTTTCATATTTCTAAAATTAATCAATTAAATCAAGAAAGCAATGAGAAAATAAAATTATAACGTTGTATGCTAATAAACTAATTATTTACTTGATATGTTGTCATCTATGAATTCGTCTATCCTGTAATAGGCTTTCTTACATAAAAATTGTTTAATATAAGATTTGAATTGCCTCTCTGTCAGATTTAATGCAGATTCCGGCAGTTTATTATAAAATCTTATGCAATTACCATAGAATGAATTACTGATTTTGTGCAGACGGCATTTAGGTAAAATAAGCTTATTTATATTGCGTAAGTTTCTACTTGTACAGTCTTTGAGTTTTTAAAACTCGCTAAGTTCTTCCGTGTATACATAATATTTTCATAAATGTATTGTGAAGTAACTGTGAGGATATTTGAGTCTTTAAAGCACTGACGTAATGACTCTCTTGAACCCATACCATAAATAGAACGTATGGCTCTCTTTTGTAAAACAAATATAGTATTTATATCGGCTGCTTTACCCAACAGCAGTATGCCATAAGACATTATGCTATGGAAATAACCAAAATATACAAGTTTAGCCGTCGCCACGTCTGTTAATTGCCTAATTCTTCTAATTGCATATGCAGCAGAACTTATTTCTTTATTTATATAATTCCGTATTGAATAGCTAGAGAGGGACGGAAAGAACTGAAGAGTCGTTAAAATGCGTCAAATAGGCTTAGCCACTTATCCACTTGATCCTATTCCAGTCTGATAGCGATCGAAGGCATAAAAAATAGAAAATAGTATTTTATCAAGAAGTACTCTTTTGTGTACGGTTTACGATGGTAAGTATATAAAGAGATGATAAATATTGATTGCTCGTGTAAAATGGGTGCAATTGAAAGGAGAATTACGGACATTTTATTACAATGTAACAGTTTCTGATAGTATTTATACTAACTTTAGTTTATAAACAGCGTCAAGTGAGCATTACAAAGGGATTTTGCCAAACTTTCTATAGGGTAAAGAGGCATGAAATAGCTAGTTCAACGTACTGACGTCACCATTTAACTGTTACTACAAATGTCGTAGTTAAAAATGTAAATAAGACTTTATATTGACCCTTTTATAATAGTTATTGAAAAAAAAAAACAAAAAGTAATAAAATTCTATGAAATTGAATTGTAGGAGTATACAACGTTTGCCCGTACGGGGCCGCCACTCAAGAACCTTTATTCTTCATAGGTTGTTGGTTCTTCGAGCTCTGTGAGCAACACATTGACACTTCAGCTTGCTTATTCTTTTGGAAGTAGATCTCAAAAACCTGATCTGAAGACACAGATAGATTGGATCTGTATTCAGATCAGAGATAATTGACCTACATGGTCAATTTTTCATTTTACAGTCAACTCTTACTCGACTTATTCGACATCTCTAATTTCTTAGGATATTTCGTTTTTAATGAATAATCTATTAATAAAAAATCTAATGGCATGTTAACCGTGCCTGCGCTGTCAATATACACTGGCGGGGTATCAGTGAGGGATAATAGGTGAATTCAACAATAAATCAATCACGATGTTTTCCAGAGGAAACACGTGGAGGTTGATCTGTTAGAATATGCTAACAATTATTACCTATAGTACTAGCTGACATGACACATGTTTTATCTCGTACCACTGTACTGCTGGGTGCATTTTTCTTATCGAGATATAAACTGTCTTATCTCTTATGTTGGGACAAATAAATATGTATTTCTGAATTTCATTAACACATTGACTGCCACGGCAATTTTTAGAGATCTGACCTAAAATAACAATTTGATTTAATCACATTATATTATTAAAAACTCTAGTTCTAGTGCAAAGTTATTATCAAAAATAAAAAAAAAAAAAAAACATTAAAATATTATTTTATTTCTAGTTTAAATTAATTTTTATAATTATATTTTTGGTTCGTTGTTCGCAATTTTCTGTTTATACAAGCCAGTATTGATTTTTTGTTCTTTTTCCAGAAGCCATTTCTTTTATACAACTTAGAATGTCAAACAAGCTGACGGCCCACCTGATGCAAAGTGATAACCGTCGTCTATAGATATGAGCAGTACCATGGACATAACAGAGTATACTGTTTCGCCCATGATACCCCCCATGCGTTGCCATTCCTGAGGACTCAGGGGTTATTCCTCTATACCCTGTAAATTCACGCCATAACTTATCCTTCAAACCGAAACACAGCTATGCAAACACAACTGCTTCACGATAGAAACACGAATGGGACAGAGGTACACAAACGACTTTTGTACAAAGTCTCCCCCTGGTATCTATCGATATTAGCACTGATATATTCAGAGTTTATTTGTAGTTATACAAAAATGGCAAGTAAACGCAGGACGGAATAACTTGTAATTGATGTCCTAGAAAAGAATGCAATCTACGAGTTATTTCGTAATTGGCAGTCAACGTGTTAAAATTTATTAAGCAGCTACAGAGATTATCGAGAATGAACATCGTGATATTAGAATTTTATATAATAAGATTACAAAAAGACTGGACTGGTTAGTTTATATCCGGTAGGCAGGAGACGGTGAAAGGCCGCTTTGTAAGTCCTTTTGCTGGTTTGGGGTGCCATCGCCCCCGTTACCTACGGTTAAACTGTAAAGGCTAACAGCGGTCAACAGCATTAGAGTGAATAGAAAAAAAAATTAAATGGACTGATTAGTTTATTATTACTAAGTTTCAAGTAGAAAAGTTATAAAGATTAAATATGCATAGTACATTCTTTATATTTGAAAGACAAGAATGCATATTAAGAAAACCGGTCAAGTGTGAGTTACACTCACACATCGATGTTTCCGTACATAAAATAATCTGCAAATAGCT